AAAGCCTAAATATTTTACTGACTAGCAGTTAAATGTGTGATAAGTAATGCAAAAACAGCGCTGTGTCACTTTTGTAAACAGGTAGGCTGTGTTTCCTTCCTCAGAATGCTCATCAATAAGATACTTTACTGGAAAACCAGAACCACCAAGGCCACTGAAGGGATGCTAACCATGTATTTTGAAGAGGTTTTAATTTTGTGCAGGGGCCAGAAGAAAATTATACCAGAAATCAGAGTAAGCAAGGCTATATGTAAGACATCGTGATGTCTGTATTGTGCAGACAAGACATGAAGGATTTTCAAGATAACAGTGTTCCTCATTTTTAGACCTCAAGAAAAAACACCCTCCTGTTAAGTAAGGTATTTCATGGCTTGTTTTCCTCAATGTGTGTCCATTTAAATTATCCTTGACTCTTTACCTGGCAAGGTCTGTATTTCCCCTACTGGCTTACACTTTTTCTCCCAGCAGGCTGAAGAGCAGCCCAGCAGCAATCTCTAATAAAACCACACCTGTATGGAAAGTATCTGAATTTTCTCTAAGCCTATCAAATGAATCCTAATCACTCTTATCTCACATGTTTTCCAGAGCAGGTTTTTGCAGTTCTCTAACGTTTTAGCTTTTGTTTCTGTGCCTGGTTTTAATGTTAAAACTTCTTTCATGGTTCTCTTCCGCCATGACAGGACAAATCTATTTATTTTTATCTCTAGCAAGACTTGCATTCATTCTATTTACTTACAACTTGCCAAACTGAACTATCTGTATCCATAAATGCCTCTGTACTCTGAGTATCTTTTTATTTTAGCCTACCTCCCAGGTACCCTACACACATTTCCCAGCCTCAGGCAATGGATCCCTCATGTTACACCAAAATGAGTGTTGTTCAGATGACCATGTCTTTTTGAGTAGTCCAGATCTTGGTGTATCACCCTGTGTTTACACCTTCAGTTTCTGGTGTTCACCAATACCACACAACCAGTTGTAGAGGCTCCTGTAGACTGCTAAAAGACTGAAAAGGAGTGGTGTGGGGTCTTCTGGGACTGTTTTAGACTTCTGTTGGATCTAATTTCCTTATGGATATTCCTACTTCTTATGGGTCTTCCTTCTGGAGGAGTTCAAGACATCAATTTTAATTATTTTAATGCTAGACTGGATTCTTATAATTATTGCTGGCTATGTCTATATCAGGAATAAGCATGAGTCTGCAAATGAAAATACCGGATGCTGAGGATTGTGTTCCCACTATGGGTTCTGTGTGTGTGGTTGGTTTAGGTTAGCTCTTGCCTGCCCTCATGGACTTTGCCACCATTGAGTTGTGGAGATTGTTGAACATTCACTGGTGGTGCAGCCTCTGGTGATCCATCTTGAACTTCATGTTCAAGTCAAAGTGCAGTACATGGAAACAATCTGCTTCAAACCCACGCTCTTATTTAACATCATCAAAGTGAGAATCTGCACTAGCGCTGGTGCACAGATCAACACCTGTCAGACAGTCTGGGAGATTACTGTTGCCATTAATGAACTTAATCCACATCTGGAGAAGGCGCACAGGGATGTGGAAGATTTCTATCTCTTTGTTAGTTAATGGGAGAAGCTTACAAAGCCAATCTTCAAAGCAGATACAGCTACAGATAGGAAAAAAGAAAACATTCCCTCTTCACTCGCCTCCAGTTTGATCCACAAGAGGTCTAATATCATGATGGCAGAATACATTTTGATGTAATGAATAATTGGGCTTACTATGTTTAGAGTAGTGAACAAATTAATAGCAGGACTGACTTTTTATTTGGTGAAGGGAGAGGTAAGAAAGGCAGGGCAAAGTCCCTATTACCTACTGTGTACCGAAGATATGCAGAGTACTCTCAGAGAGCTCTGGAAATGGGACTATGTATTTTAGCTGGTGGTATGCTATGCAAACACTTAGTGAAAACACTTAAACACCAAGAAAAGCAAATTACTCTGCCCTGGGGGAAGGAGGTTGGGGTGGTTAAATTCAACTGCTATTACTGCTGTGCAGTTGTTAAAAATCCACCACTGCACCACAGCATATAAAAGGGTTCTGTCACTTATAACATTCTAATACCAGAAAGGATCCTCATAACATACTAAAAGACAAATGTCACAATCAAATACCTGGTGATGCTTTTTCAAGTTGCTCACAACAGGGAAAAGACTGAACTATGCTGAACTGATAACTTGAAATTTTTCTAACATATTCCAATATTCTTGTGTATCAGGTAGCTTTTCAGAAGCATACTCTCAAGAACTTTATATTCCTTACAATATGCTGAGTGCAAAAAAGTAAAAACTGCATCTTCAAGAGGTTAGTTCCCACATTAGCCTGATGGTCATATAACTGCTCCTCCCAGAAACTGAGACATAATATAGCCTTTTTCTGCAACCTCCTCAGTTATGCAAAATCACAGCTCAAAACTGTAGACTGAGTCACTAACAGCAGTACAGAGAAATAGAAAAATCCAGCTAGTGCATTTCTTCCCCCACTCCCCTCCCATTTGCTTGAATATGCAAGCATTTCAAGGCAGGTATTCACACACATCACTTGTTGAGTTCTGTTTTAGTGGCACTTGTACAGCTGGGAGTTACAACAAGCAGAGAAGCCTACACACAAAAGCTGTCTAGAGCTGATGCAGCCACCCTTCAGAGCTGTGCCTAGAGCCTCCTCCTAATTCCCAGAACCACAAGCTGGGCTGCTACCAAACCGTGCTCTGAGGGCTATGCTGCAGCCTGGGTAAGGCAGCACAGGCAAATGGGGGAAGCTGCTGTGCGACAGCACTGCTCACACAGGGGAAGCTGGGTTGCTTAACAGAGAAGATGCAGTGCTGGCTAAAGGTCTAAAAGAAAAGCCAAGTGCTCTTCTAACAGCCACAGGGTGTGAGTGGGCCCATCTCTTTGTGTGAGCTCCAAATCTCAAGGTGCCTTAAGTGTAGTGAAAACAACCCCACCATCAGCTCTTCTTCCTGCTTGATTTTATGTTGTGGTCACAGCTGCAAAGGTAAGGATGTTATTTTGCTCCTCTGGCATTGAATCAAAACCCAGAAGTTTGTATTCGAAAAGTGGTCTAGAAAGCACTGTGATAGCAGACATGCAAAGCCTCTGACTTCTGGGGAATAACCAGCTTTGAAGTAAAATACATTCAGCAATAATCTATGCACACTTCATTAATTTCAGAACTGCAACAGCAAAGTACTACTTAAAAAAGCTGTAAGATAGTAATGAAGGCTTTGGGGTTTATTTTTATTTTTAATCCCAAAAGCTCCTTATCTCCCTTCTCCATGTTTTTTCATTCAATTTACAGTAGTCTAAGTTAAAGCTCATCTAACAAAAAATTACACATTAAGTTTGGCTAACCTCTTCACCCCCCTCTTGATGAGAATCCTTTCTTCCTTGGGGAGTAAATGCAACAACTTTACAATTGGTACACTGCTTGTTTAAGATAACTTTCCTCTGCACTTTGTGTTTAATGGAATTTGGCTGATCTGGGATATTTCAGCACTTAAATAATTGAGATAGTGAGGGCAGCAATTTTTGCCAAGTCTTAAATAGCAGAAGAATCTCTAGGCAGAAAGGCAGTATTTTGTTATCTTTCAACATGCACTCATCTTTCTCCACCACACCCCCAGTCAAGTTTGAGAACCCTTGACACAGGCTACTGCACGATATGAAACACCGGTTTACTGTTCAAATTTGAGCCAAAGCTTAGACTCAAAGAGTAGCTGCAGTTTAACACTGGATGATTTAAGTGCAGGTCTGAGGAGTTGTTGCTGGAATGGGGGTGCTCATGACACCCATCCTACTGCTGGGCTGTGCAGCTGCAGTGCATGCCGTGTCCAGAAAGCCTCGATGCATTGGAAAAACCAACTTTCAAAAAGCCAGCTGAACCCTAAGTCTGATGCAAGAGGTCCAGCACGATGTATACAGCTGGGCGGTGGAACAGGGCCACCTTGCTGTCGCAGCCTGCTATTACTCCAGCCTTTGAGAATGTACTACGGATTTTTGAAATTTGTTTCTGCACTTCAATTCATCAAAAAAATTGGCTCTAAAAGAAGCAACACAGGCCACTCTTATACTTCAAATTACATGCTCTCTTCTTCTATTTAAAGAGTTCATGTGAATGAGCAGAAAGAAAACAACTAGGCTGGAAAGCAGGAGCAACCAGCCTCACCGATAAGAAGGGATAGGGGAAATCACGTTTGCTTCAGTGATCAGAGCAGACTTAAACAGGGAAGTTCCAATTTTTATAAAGAATCACAGTAATCCCTTTCCTTTGCAGTATTTGAACATTAAACCTGCTCAAGACAACCTGAGTGCTTCACCAGCTGTACCTGAATAAGAAAGTAAATCTGACTGTAGATTCTTTACTATGTGGATGAGTCACTGCAACCAACTTGCTTTATGTTCACCCTGCATCTTCACATTTCCGCTGGCTCTGCTCCACTGAGCCCCCCATAGTACGGGGCACAGTGGGCCCGGGCCTGTTTTAAACAAACAGAGATCCTTTCTGCCGCAGTTCTGGTTACTCTCTGCGTATCAGGCTTTCTTTGTAGCTTGCCTGATAAATCTGCCTCGCACTCCTCTTCTGAAGGCCGCCGAGAAGCGTCTTAAGTGCAAGTACCATTAACAGGGCCCGAGAGGAAATGTGCTCGGGCTCTCGGGGTCACTGAGCAAGCCCCTGCCCGCCTCACGGCATTGCTGCCCTCGCCGCGATCCCACCGCTCAGTGCCCCAAGTCTGATCCCCGCCGTCCTCCCCGCAGTCGCCGCGGAGCTCCAGTGTTCGGGACCCCGACGGGACACCCCGGTACCAACCCCCTCCCGCGCCTCTTCCCGCCCCCGCGTGGCTCCGACCGCCCCCCGGGGCCATTTTGCGCCGGGCCGAGCTCGCCGGCAGGGGCGGCGAGGCTCGCTCGGGTGCGGCGGTGCCGACGGGAGCGGCGGCCGGGCCCGCCCTGGCCGTGCCCCGGTCTCGGCTCCCGTTCCCACTCACGGCAGCCGCGGTCGGCGTCGGGCTCACGCGGGCGCCGTGGGGGCCGCCGTTGCTGCGGTGCCGGCGGGGCGCGGCAGGGGGCGATGGCCGGAGGCGCTGCGAACGGCGGCGGGGAGGGGAGGGGACGGTGTTACCGGAACTCCTGACTCGGAAAGGACCCGCGGGGATCATCGAATCCGACTCCTGGCTCTGCACAGGACAGCCCCAACAGTCCATATCCCTGAGAGCGTTGTCCAGACGCTCCTTGAACTGTGCCAAGCTTGGTACTGTGACCACTTCCCTGGGTAGCCTGTTCCAGTGCCCAGCCACCCTCTGGGGAAGAACTTTATTCTTAAATCCAACCTAAACCGCTCCTGATACAACTCCAGGCCAGTCCCTCGGGTCGTGTCACCAGAGAAAAGACATCAGTGCCTGTCCTTCCTCTTCCCTTCACGAGGAAATTGTAGACATTGATGAAGTCTCCCCTCAGTCTCCTCCAGGTTGGACAGACTAAGTGACCTCAGCCAGCCACTCCTTGTATGGCTTCCCCTCACAACCCTTCCCCATCTTGGTTGCCCTCCTTTGGACACTCTTTAATAGCTTAATATTTTTCTTATATTGTGGTATAATATCATGGCAGTGCTGGGGCTGCCTGTGTCTCAAGCAGCATTTTACATGGGTTCCTCTTCTCAACGGCAGGGTTGAGGGGTTTCTCAGTCTGTGCCTCACCCAAGGTGCCAGATGTCCCACAGCCGTGGCTTCGGTCCCCAGCCGGCATTGCTGCACCGGCTTCCCCACAACCCACATCCCCTCAGCTCCGTGCTGATCATCCAGACCACACCTGAGCTTGCTGCCCAGGATCCATTCTCTTTTGTGGTGCTTTATTATTATTTTTTCCAGGGCAAGGGACACCATAAAACCACTCTTGTACAGTCAAAATTGCAAAAAACAACAGTGTCTGTCCAGCAATCCCCAAAGAAAATTCTGGATCTAATCTGGCCAACTCATTCCACACAGTGATATTAATATTTAATTTAACCACTGCTGTCTTTAGCTCATCTTCTTCATTCCAGATTTATCCCTCTCCATTATTCTGTGTAAGCTCATGTCCCTGTTGGAGTTTATTTAAGCAAGCTGTCCAGCACTGTCCCTGAGCGCAGCACTTAGGCTCTGGTGTTTGTAAAGTGTGCGTGTTAGCAGTGCTGGATTACATGATCCCAAGCCTTGGCTCACGGTTTTGATTCATCTGAAATTAAATTATGAGTGTACTAATAACGTCAGAGTGTGTTCTGTTGCTGTTCCTTAGTGCATCCTACCTGCTTTGATATTTATTATATACGTTTCCTGGCTGAGTTGAGTCAGGCATTATTGTCAGTGCTGTTGCCAAGCCAGTTTGTTCTGTTATCCAAGTAGCTTCCAGCTTCTTATTTACACCTTTTGCCTTACTGTTATGATTTAGTGGAATGCTATCTGCTATTTCGTTCTCCAAAATAAAACTGTTTCTTCCCATGACAAGCTTCTAGCAGTCTCCAGTCAACTTCTACCATCAGGAGCTGATTACATTATTGCATTGCTTTGTTGTTCCTGACAAAAAATTGAAAAGGGAGAGGTTTCTATATTGTAGCTGAATTAATTAATATATCTCCTTGCTAGGACTTGTAACACTGATGGAATTGTGGAAGGTGAGAGTAGGGAGAAACAGTATGGAAAGACAATCAGGAGAATAAAAGGACATGCAGATATGACCAAAAAAGAGACAATGACATATACAGAACAAAAAAGGAGTGAATGAGTGAAAAGAGCCCAGCCTCTTACACTCCTAAGAAGCCCTGTTAAGAGATTGTTTTGTATGCAAAACTGTGAGGTTTTCTAAAATTCTTTCTCTCATCCTGCCTTTCCGCTACTGTCCCTTCTTTGTGGAAATCAGTTGCTGCCTTTACTTTCAGGGTGGTCTGACTCCTACATATATAATTACTCTCTGAAAAATCTATTTCATACATTTCTGACCTTAAGAAAGATTTTGGGCCAGAAACTTGTCTTCAGTTCCCAGCTGTGCCTGTGTTGGCCTACCTACCCCTGCTGGCCCTTTTTCCTGGTAATTTTGCAATGATGAAAGCAGTGCAATACCCATCCAATATTGGTGAAGCTTTATTGGTACTGAAAGGTACTTATTATTTATAGATACCCCTTGTGCTATTTCCCCTCTGCTATTTCCACATGGAAAGAGAGACAGCCATTGTAAGACACCAGTATTACTATGGCCATGCTGGGGGCTATTTGCTGTTGCTTCTTCCTGGGCTGGCATTTTCCCCTGCACACTTGTCACCACCCTAGGGGCCCAAGTCATGCTAGCCACTCATCTCACAGCCACAAAAGACTCTGGCCCCAGAGCACGAACGCCCCAGAGGGTGGCACCAGGCTGGCCACATGTCCCTGGCCAGCTGCTTCAGCCATGAGGGAAGCAGAGCTGCGGGAGCCCCCAGCTCTCTGCTGGGCTGCACACCAGAGCTCCCAGCTCCAGCTGGCAGGGCCTCAGCGCCTGCCCTGTGCCCTCTCGCCACAACAGCCATGCCAGGCCCCACTTGCTGCCCTGATGGTGGCAGTCCTGGCCCCCAGTGCTCTCCAAGGGTTTCTCCTGGGGCACCTTCCTGCAGCCTTTCAGTCCCTGCATGAGGCCCAGCAGACACCTGCGGAAGGTCTGCTTACAAGGGCCTGGAGGGACAGCACCAGGGGCAGCAGCTTCCCACTGACAGAGGGTGGAGTTAGGCTGGAGATGTGGAAGAAATTCTGGCCTCTGAGGCTGGTGAGGTGCTGGGCCATGCTGCCCACAGAAGTTGTGGCTGCCCAGTCCCTGGCAGTGTTCCAGATCAGGTTGGATGGGGCTTGGAGCAACCTGGCCTGGTGGAAGGTGTCCCTGCCCTTGGCAGCAGGGTTGCAACAAGATGATTTCTAAGGACCCTTCCAAGCTGAGCCATTCTGTGATTCTGGGATCAGAGGGGCCGGGGACACCTGGGCTTAACTGCTGCTTAGAACCAATTCAGCAGTGTAAGTTTGGTTGAGTTCATGGAGACTGTTCACGAAACCAGATTCCCAGCGTGTGACTTTTTCCAATACTATAGGTCTGGCTGAGATCAAGAAAGTCTTGCATGCTCCAGATTCTGCAAGACTGCATTTTATTGAAAGAACAGCACAGCAGTTTCTTGCTTGCCAGTCATACATACACTAACTATGGAGCATTAATATGTGTCCAAACAGATAGTGACATGATATACATACTAAATTTATATTGTTCTATTATCATATTGTGATGATTTTTAAATTATATAACACTTTACATATTTAATAAATATTCAATTATAAATATAATTTATTCTGTGTAATTATATAGGAATTAGATATAATTGTTCTTTCATTTCCTTTTTATGTATTAAATTGTTTTGTATTAAATACAATATGTGTATAATATACATTTTATAAATACATCTGTGTAATAAAAATCTTGCCTCTTATAAATGCAGTAACTACAGAGTATTAATACATATCACAGGTAGTGACATTACATATGTGCTATTTATTTTCATAAAATAATACGATAATTTATAAACTATCACTATAACATATATCTATTAAAACACATCTGTTAATAAAAATATTTGTAGTTATAGATACATATATCTATCTGTCTATGTATTCCGTTCATTCTTGTCTTTGTCATGGCACTAAAAGCTGGCTCTCTGCCACCAGCTGCAAGCCCCACACGTGTCCAAAGGAGAGCAACAGGGCTGGTGAAGGGCTGGGAACACAAGCCCTATGACGAATGGAGCTGGAGTTGTTTAGCCTGGAGTAATGGAGACTCAGAGACAACCTTATCACTCTCTACAACTTCCTGAAAGGTGGTTGTAGTCAGGTGGAGGTTGGTCTCTCTCTCCAGGCAGCAACTGACAGAATGAGAGGATACAGTCTTAAGCTATGCCAAGGGAAATTTAGGTTGGATGTTAGGAAAAAGTTTTTTACTGAAAGAGTGATAAAGTACTGGAATCGTCTGCCAGGGGAGGTGGTGGAGTCACCATCCCTGGATGTATTTAAAAAAATATTGAATATGGCACTCAGTGTCATGGTATAGCTGAGGTGGTGTTAGGGCATGGTTTGGACTTGATGATCTTAAATGTCTCTTCAAACCTAGTGATTCTGTGATTCTCTGATTCTGTGATTCTATGGGCCCTGCTAACAGTGGCCATAGGCCAGCACTCTTGCCAGGCGATGGCGCAGATCAAGGTAGGCTTGCATCGCCTGGGAGTGGGCAGCTGGATCCTGTGCCAGGCCGTGGAAGAGGTTGGGTGGCTTAGCCCTTTGTACATCTGGGGGCAGCCTGATCTCCTCTGGAAGCCTCTGGTTGCCCACAATAAAATGCTCCAGGTGTTTCTTTTCCAAAGATAAGCGCAGCTGCTCCAGAGCATCCGACAGCTGAAGGAGGAAGTGTCTCCTGTGCCACTGCGACACTGGTACCGTGTGCAGCAGGTGCATGATGATGGTCTTGATGGAATGGATGGAAAAGTCCTTGCGTGCAAGAACACGGGCGAGGAGCTGCAGGCATTTAAGGTGCGAGCTGTCCTGGGGGACCTGCCTGGCCATGTGCCTGAAGAACTTTGTCTCTGCCACGGCGTAGGTCTCAGGCCACATTGTGCTTGGGGTCTGGGCCCCTCGATACCGGCTGCTGATAAAGATGTCTGAGATGTGTCGTTGCATCCCGATCAGCACCTTAACCTGGAAGGTTTCTTGGCCATTGGTCAGCCTGAGGTTGCAGGAGCGTTTGGAGGGCAGCAGCACTAAATGCCAACTGCGTGACTGGGGCAAACGCCGCCAGGTTGCTCCCACCAGTGCGCAGAACCAGTGGACAGTTTTCTTCACATCGAGGTAGGAGCCAGTGCACAGTGTGTCTAGGAGGTTGGGCTGCCGAGTCCTCCTCCTAATCACGTCAGGGTGGTGCTGGAAGCACAGCATGTTCATACCCTGGTACTCCCTCGGGCACCTGCACTCCAGCTCCACACGGACACGGAAGTTCCTGCCAGGCTTCTGCTGGTCAGTGTCATGCTCCAGGTGGAAGATGTGGCCTAGGGGAGG